TTTTTTTTTTTTTTTTTTTTTTTTTTTTTTTTTTTTTTCCAGCTGGGACCTTCCCTGGTACTTGCACGGCCGTCCCGCCGGGGAAAACAGGGTGACTCAGGTGGCCCGGCTGGTAGCCTAGTATATATATATATACAGGGTCACCAGCCCGTACGTACGCAGGTCCCCGGGCAGACCTCCGTACGTACCGGCGTTCGGCGCCCGCCAAAAATCATTTCGGGGCCTAAAAATAATTATGTCTTTCTGAATTGTTTTTTGTGAGTTCTCCATGACGTGAGGTAAATGCCTATAAAGTTTCAAGTCATTTGGCTAAGCCAAATAATAATTAAAAATCGCCAAAGATGGCGGTGTAAAAACGTGCTCGCCCACGTATTTTTTCACTTTTTACTTTTTGTTTTCATTTTAGTTCGGGGTCTTAACAATTTTATTATTTTTTGAAACGTTTTTAGTGGGTTTTGTATTATGTGAAGTCCACATCTGCAAATTTTCATGGCTTTCAGCTAAGCCAAAAAAAAATTAAAATTCGCCAAAGATGGTGGTGTCGAAAACATGCTCGCGCACTCACTAAATTTAATTCTCTTTTTATTTTTATTTATTTTTATTATTAGTATTTATTTTCCGTATTTGATTTTTGTTTCAAATTTGGTGAGGAATTCGGATGTAATGCTCAGGCAAATCTTGTTGAATTTAGTTTTCTCCATAACATATCTTTTTTTTCAGATTTTTTTGATGATTTTTATTTATTTATTTATTTTTTGGGTCCTCGTTCGGCCCGAACGGCCGAATGCATCCCCAAGGGGTCCCATACGTTCGGGCGTTCGTCCGGTCCCGAACGCCGGTTACCCTGTATATATATGGCCCCTAAGCTGACCCCCGAACGGTCGGGCGTTCGGGTCCCCGTACGGGGCCCGAACTCGAAGGCGTTTGGACCCCGCAAAAAAATATTTTGGTACCTAAAAAGTATTATTTGTTTCTGATTTTGTTTTTGTGAGTTCTCTGTTATGTAAGATACCTGTCTCTCAATTTTGAAGTCATTCTGTGGAGCCCAACAATAATGAAAAATCGGCAAAGATGGTGGTGTCAAAACTTGCTTTCCCACTTACTAATTTGTTTTTTTTCTCTTTTCACTTTGTGTTTTCCCTTTATTTCGGGGGCTGAAAAACATTATTATTTTTTCAAACTTTATTTGTAGGTTCTCTATTATGTAAGATAGATATGTATAAAATTTCATGGCATTTGAAAAAGGCCAAAAAAAAATGAAAAATTGCCAAAGATGGCGGTGTCAAAAACTTGCTCGCCCACTCAATAATTTCATTCTCGTTTTATTTTTTCTTATTTTTATTAATACTATTTATTTTTCATATTTGATTTTTATTTCAAATCTGGCAAGGAATTTGGATGTACTGTTGAGGCAAATGTTGTTTAGTTTATTCTTTTGCATGACATATTTGTTTTTCAAAATTTTTGGAAATATTTTTTTCTTTTTTTTGGGTTCCGCGTTTGGCCGAACGTCCGAACGCGTCGAGAGGGGGTCCCAAACGTTCGGGCGTTCGGGTTCGGGCGTTCGACCTGTCCCGAACGCCGGCAACCCTATATATATATATATATATATATATTAAAAAACCAACGAAAACGATGAAAAAAAAAACGAAAAACAAACTCGTCATCGAAAGAAAACGCTCATAAATCTTTTGTCGTAAGCATTGAGACAGTAACCACATCTCAAGTTGTAACAGTACGGAAAACGATAACAACAGTCGAATGCATAGTCAACGAGGCGTAGTGAAAGCCAGTCACTATCTAGCTCAACATCGTCACCCCCGGGTCCGAACTGCTTGCGTGAGCAGACTCATGACCTACAATCCCCCCATCATCGGACTCACAACCAACTATGAAAATGTCATTGTCCCCCAGGACATCATCGCCTGCACCCGACTTAGCATCGTCATCAACACCAACATGCTTATCGCCATCTCCGATAAAAAGATCGTGTGGCAATGGAGGCGGCAATGCCCCTGGTCAGTCTCCCATATCACAATTATCATGGCATAGAAAACGTCGGACCCAGTCCGACACTCCGTACGAACCAAACACGAAAGCCAACAACCTATCTACCCAAGAATCGTCAACGGGTTGATTGTGTCGATAGAAGCCTGGCCTCGGACGAATGGAAGTGTCGGCCGGTATGGGAGCACGGTACTCGAGTGGTCTAAGCCATGCGTGAGTGTTCTAACGGATCACTGCAATTGCCAATCGTGCTTCCATAAACTTTTCGAAATGCACAGACTTCTTGGCGTAAATGATCATTGTGCCCTGGAAAGTCTCAACCGTCGATGTGTGACGGAACTTAGTGTAGTAGAATGTAATGTTCGTGCTACAATGTTTCCCAAGAAGCTCCACAATGACTTCGTATAAACAGCAATTTCGTCAAAACGGACATATTTTATTTTTTGAACGAAATTGAAAGTTCATAAATTAGAGCGATTTAGGTGGAAATTTCAAGCTCTTGAAGGTCCGAAGTCCTTAAAACGTCGGACCCCTTGGATGTATCTGGACTTAGCTGGAGTCCAGGGGGTACGGCGTTCTGAAAACGTTGTACCCCCCTGGATGTATCTAGACAGTTTGCATCCAGGGGGTACGGCGTTTTCATAATGCCGTACCCTCAGGAGCTGAAAATATAGACCTAAATCGGGCCAAATTTTTTGTTTTCAATTTCGTTCAAAAAATAAAATATGTCTGTTTTGACGAAATTCCTGTTTATAAATTGTCATCGTGCATGTACAACTGCAATCGTCCAGGCCCGCCTCCCTTCTCACATAAAAGTTGCCTCTCGCCAATGCACCTCGGATGATCTCTAGCCTAATGCTCCGCGATCATCATAATATCGCGGTGCAAAGTCTCAGCATCTCCACCCTCGTCCCTACAAAGCTGAGAAGCGCAAAGGAACCACATCCCAACCTCGTGCGCATGGAACTCTGTCACACCATCGAGATCAACAGTCAAACGTTGGGCGTTCGTCAACGTACCAAACGGACACATCTTCTGTAGCACAATCGCGACAAACTCCGATTTCTTCAATCGCTCTTCCTTCAACGTCAAAGTACTCGATCCAAATCTGGTTGCCAAAGCATCCAACATCTCCTTCTTCGTAAACGACATGAGCTTAGACTCTGACACACATTGGTGAGGGTTACTAACTCTCTTTGCCTCCTTTAGCGTCAATATTTTTTGGAAGTGCTTGCGAATGTTCTTGATTTTATGGTGGCAATCTTTCTGCCAAGCAATATCAAGAGCTTGCAATTGGGGACCTAACGTTGCACAATCATTGGAGATAACCGTCCTACTCCGCAAACCCTTCGCAAGCAAACCTCTCAAAAGGCGCACAACAGCGGGCGCCTCGAGCTGTTTGGATGCCTTTCCCTCAATTTTGGGACGGAGTGTACATATACCCACGACAAGATGAGCATTGTACTCGATGGCAGTAACAGTGCAGTGTTGTACACCCCTTGCGGAGTCGTAGCGACCATCAATCATCAAAGTAACGGGTGCCCCTGAGCGCTGCACTGTCTCTATGGCCAACTCGCAGTACCGGACACCCTGCCTGACAACCTTCACGTTCCAACCCTCCCGCACATCAACCTCGCTGCGCATGAAACTGTAGAAAGTGGGCTTATGCACTGGGACATCCCAAGCGCAACGCAGAAGTTATTGAGGAGGGTGTACGTCAACCCCGCAATAACAGTGCGGTGAAACATCTGTTGCATCAATCGGGAAGAGTACACAGTGGTGGTGACCAGCGTGGAGTGCGATGTCCAATGACACTTCTTATGACAAACAAGCACCAAGCGCATCAACTGCCCAGGACAACCGACTGACGACACGGACACACGACATCCACGCCCATGCTCTGGGCAACATATGTCGAACAACCCCAGCAGCCGCAAGAGCTTGGTCGGCTCAACGAATACGACATCAGGCTTTTTAGGGCCTTTCCACTCTGCCATCGTTTCGAGCACCTTTTCCCAATCCCGATAGGGCCCGCACTGGTCAACACAATCAGCACAATCACACCACTCCAACGGTCGAATATCAGCAGACCGTGAGCGTGAACGCCTACAGCTGGCTGGATGTCCTCGTGATCTGCGACCACGTTGTGACCCATTTCCTGACTTCGAGAACGAATCATCCGAGCCAAAGTGCGACCCACCTCGTGCACCGCCCCCACCATAGCCTCATCATCGTCGTCTGCATCGGCCATCGAGTGGTCATCTCCCACTCCCAAACGAAACACCTCAGCACGGTTGTTAGGGGGCAATGTCGTTGCAATCCTAGCAGCCACGTCACGGTCGTATTCCGTACGGATAGTTGGTAGTCACCAATGCAACAAACGGTCGATGACCTCACCAACGACCCCAGACTTTTCGCTCACTCCTTTCATCGCCCGCTGTAAGTCGCATACTCTATATTTACAAGCGCCGCTCGCAGACGAGCAATCTTCGTCGTGCCCGAAGATTGCGAACCTAACGGGACAAAGGATGCACCGTCGTGATCCGAATGGCGCGCACCACCAGTCCTTTCTTTCTTTCTTTCCCTCTTCCTTCCTTTCTTTTTTTCTTTCTTTCTTTCTTTCTTTCTTTCCTTTCTTTCTTTCTTTTTTTTTTCGAT